CCCACCGGGGCGCTTGTTTTTGAAGGAGCCAAGTAGTGTCTGCACCCCTCGGCGGACAGAGGAGCCCACCCGACGAGCAACGGAGTCAGCAGGAGGAGTGGGTAGGCAGGAGGAGCTCTGAGGCCGTGCATCCAAGCACTTCTGATAGCGGAGCTGTGGGAGACATGAATGACACCATCAGATTACCATAGAGAACAACAATTCAGAATAAAACCAACCAATGCTAAAGTGGGCCCGGCGCCTTTTACCTATGGACCAACCTACAATTTAAAGCAGAACTCCAGCCAACAATAACAAAAATGAATAGTCCAAATGGAACCTTTCCTCTGCCGCTAGATGTCCTCAGTCTTGGAGGACGTAGGTTGACTGATTCTAGCTTTAAATCCAGTCATCCCGGACGTGCCCCCAACCCGTGACTGGACAGCGAAAGAAGAAGCAGCGCAATGATGATCTCCTCTCCCTGTCACTCTTCTTTCTCCTCCCATCAGCAGGCTTTTTGCCGGCACAAAAACTGATTGGCTCCTTGTGCTGCTTCTTCCTCTCACACTTCAGAACAGTTCCTGTTGCACGGCACATAAGTGCTTTTGTGGGCTGCAATGAGCATTTTATTTTTTTTTGGTCTGAGTGCTGTCAGGCCTGCTAACTTTTTGTTAAATTACCCAAATCACCCCCCCCCCCCCCCACCCCCATAACACAGACCCTAAATAACCTGTAGCCCAAGAAAAGAACTTGGATGGTTAAGTGGACTCTGAGAACACAGAGAGGACACAGGACAGCTCTGAACTTCTAGGAAGATCAACAGGTATGTTTCCAAACGTACAGAACGGATATTATAGATTTCTTCCAATGGTGGATTCGAACCAATCCAATGTCTCCCAAAACAGTTACTTTTACGGCGTACCAACTCTCAAGGTTGCTGGAGGGCCGGAGTTTGGACACCCCTGCTGTAAGGGATTGGAGGGCATAGTTCCACTTTAACAGACCACAAGGGAGTAAATAGTTCATTTTTGGGGATTAATCATTAATCATACAATGTAAAGCTGAAGTGGTCATGTGGGCTCTGCTCCCCCCCCCACCACTGGTCATGTGGGCTCTGCTCCCCCCCACCACTGGTCATGTGGGCTCTGCTCCCCCCCACCACTGGTCATGTGGGCTCTGCTCCCCCCCCCCACCACTGGTCATGTGGGCTCTGCTCCCCCCACCACCACTGGTCATGTGGGCTCTGCTCCCCCCCACCACTGGTCATGTGGGCTCTGCTCCCCCCCACCACTGGTCATGTGGGCTCTGCTCCCCCCCCCCACTGGTCATGTGGGCTCTGCTCCCCCCCACCACTGGTCATGTGGTCTTTGGCAATCACTGATTGGTCTTCAAGGAGGATGTGACCCATGCCACAGCACTAGTGATGCAGCTGCATTGCTCCAATAACGAAGGCTTGATTTCTAAGCCTTGAACGTCTTTAATAGGAACAATGATGGGATATCATGGAATAAGCCCCCTTACCATGCAGGCACCCTGTACCGCCTCTGACAGGTGGGCCGCATTGGGTTCGCACCAGAACATGTGGCACACGAATATCCCTGGAGCCTCCGCCATGATGAAGGCGAACGTGTGGATGTCGCGTCCGACACCCATAAAGGACAGGAAACGAACGCGGGCCTCGCAGAGGGTTTCCTCGCTCTGGAAAGGAAAGGAGATGGTCGTTAGAATGACAAGTACGGCCGACCCATAATGCCCTCCTGGGGTCGGAGCCTGGCTTCACTTAGCCCAGAGTCTCCCAAACTAGTCCTTTAGGAGCCACACAGACAGGTCGTGTTTCTTGAGACACTGCCCTAACACCTTACGATTATCGTACGATAATGGCGGGAAATCCCGCGATCGTACGATGATCGTAAGGTGTGTGGAAGCCGTGCGACCTCTACTACTGTAAGGTCGCACGACTTTAAACTTACGGACATGTTCGAAAACCCGCCGAGCATCGTACGACGTTCGGCGGGTTTGTGGCATGTCCGAACGATAACAGCCGCACGGGGCGGTGTGCGCAACCACACACTGCCCGTTTGGCATTGCGGTCATCGGGAGCCCGACCCTCAGGGGGCGTGGCTTGCGATCATCGCACGTACGATCTGCCTATGCAACATAGGCAGATCGTACGTTTTTTTAAGTACCTTACAACCCTCGCAAGACAGAAGTCTTGCGAGGGTTGTAAGGTGTGTGCCCAGCCTTAGAATGTATGTGCAGGCTTTATTGTATAAGCGACCAGGGCAGCTGAAAAGTCACCCGATCATTTCCAAAGTTATTCAGCGGCAGTATGGCTCCGGGATTCCTGGGCTCTACTACACCTCCTGGGAGAAAAAGAACTACCTTCAGGGTGGTGAGCCGTGTGTATGGAGGAGACCACATCCTCGATCTTTCCTCTGTACAGCACGCCCGGAAGAGCTCTGCTCTGAGCACTTCTAGGTTCATGGCTGTCAAATGACACTGGCAATGGCTGGTGTAGGAGCTGATCGGGAACTTTCTGTCCTCAATCAGCCAGGAACAGTATAGGGGAGACATCGGGGGCCTCACAGACCCCTAATGTTTCCATAAAGAGAACTGGTCATTGCAGAATGTGATTACAAATAGAGCTCATCAGCATGCAGCGTTACTCCTGACCCCTGCACTGTGCGTTACTCCTGACCCCTGCACTGTGCGTTACTTACTCCTGACCCCTGCACTGTGCGTTACTTACTCCTGACCCCTGCACTGTGCGTTACTTACTCCTGACCCCTGCACTGTGTGTTACTTACTCCAGACCCCTGCACTGTGTGTTACTTACTCCAGACCCCTGCCCTGTGTGTTACTTACTCCTGACCCCTGCACTGTGCGTTACTTACTCCTGACCCCTGCACTGTGCGTTACTTACTCCTGACCCCTGCACTGTGCGTTACTTACATCTGACCCCTGCACTGTGCGTTACTTACTCCTCACCCCTGCACTGTTCGTTACTTACTCCTGGCCCCTGCACTATGCACTTAGTCCAAGTAGATCTCCCATCCCTGCTTCAAAGTAACGGATGACGTTGAGATCTTCAGCACTTCCACGTGTCGGGTGCAGGAGTATTCCAGCTACAATTTTAGCTGCCGGACGTTATGTCACTGGAGTGTTGCTGCCGCGCTGAAAGCAGACGACTTTTACAGATCTTGTGCATGCGCTGTATGAGATCTGGCGCAAATCTTTATCAAAAGCCACAAATAAGTGAAAAATGCACTTAAAGTTAATTTGACTGCCCCGGAACACAATTAAATACCCACGGGTCAGCCCCCACGGGTCATCAGTTTACAGATACGTGTAAATATTGTCCCTAGAATGACTGTGCTCACACTGCGGCGACACCAGACATGTGTAGCGTGTTCGCGGGGGACTTAAAAAAAACAATGTTTATATTTATTTTATTCTATAATTTTATATATTTTTATTAATGCAGATCGCACTTCAATAACTTATTGCTCAGCTTCAGGAGCCGAGCAATGACAGCTCAGGAACCGGAAGTAATGTAATACGCTTCGCTCCTGGTCCCACCCGACATGCTGCTCCCGGGCCCGCAGGAGGGGCAGCGGAGACCGGGAAACGCGGCAGGGTGGGCAGCGGAGACCGGGAAACGCGGCAGGGTGGGCAGCGGAGACCGGGAAACGCGGCAGGGTGGGCAGCTGCCATAGACGTTTTTGTACGTAGACGCACTCGACACAGGAATGCTTGCGGGGGTGTGGGACTTTAAAACATTTTTTACAATTATTTTTACATTTATTTTATTCTATACTATTTTTCTAAACAGTTTTTTTTCCTACTTTAATTGCTATCACATGGGGGGAGGGGGGCTTATACAAGGCATATTGGTGGTGACAGGTGCTCTTTAAGGTGACACTGGGGGTGTCACCCCTGGTATCACCTTTCCACTTTAGATCGCACTTCATTAGGTTATTGCTGGGCTTCAGGAGCCGAGCAATGACAGCTGCGGGGTCGGAAGTGATTTGCGTCACTCTCGGTTCCATGGAGCGGGAGGAGATCAGTGAAGTAAGTTTGCAGCTCTCATCCCCAGCATCCCTGCAGCGGAGCTTGGGAAACACAGCGGCGTGTAGGGTGGGCACTTTACCGGCCCATAGAAGTGATCTGGCAGCAGCCGACAGTCGGCTTTACAAAAGGTAAACAGAGTCCCGGCGGCTTTCTTTTTACAGAGCCGATGGAGTTAAAGTGACATTGTTAAGATATAGGAATCCTAACGTCTCATGAAGCCAAGCATGTATGTCTATGTAAGTTGTCACTCACTGAGGGTGCTGGAGCATTGCTTCTCTGTATTTTCACTGATTGGCTTACAGAAGGGGTGCTCGCTCAAGACCAAAGCACACCAGAGCACAATCACATACACCAGTATCTCGGCTTTCTTCCCATGCCAGGATACAGCTATCCAGATAGGTCCTCAATGTAAAGGGAATTCAGCGGCGCCCAGTGGAAGCTCCTTTTAGTGTCTAATATACGGTACCGGACATCCCAGTATAGAGCACACATCAGGTTCTACAGATCCATCTAGTGTCCAATGTAAGGTACTGGACATTACCGTACAGAGCCTTGGTTCTCAACTAGTGTGTCGCCGCATGCCTTCCACTTTTCTAGGAGAGAAGCTCCTCAGCCTCCCCTACTATCAGTTCTCACGCCAAGCAGCTATTTAAAATATGCTGCCTGGTGCCGAGTGTCAGCTTGAGGTGGGGACGGCTGGGGGTATGGCCACGAGGGAGCTACATCCATACATGCATTGCTTACAGCTCCCACATGTGTCCTGTAGAGGTGCCTGGACTGGAGCCACATTCTGGCTCCCGGCACCTCTACAGGACACGGAAGAGAGCTGTACAAGCAATGCACGTATGGATGGAGCTCCATCACAGTACAGCAGCCCACACTGGACCCCAGGCTAAGGATCCACTCCAGTTCCCGTAAGGTAGGAAGACTGGGGGAGATCTTTAAAAAAAAATCCTTGGAGTGTGTATGTAATATTATGTCTGTGTGTGTCTGTCAATGTTATTAAGGGCCCACAATAGTACAGTGTGTTAATTGAACAGTCCCATGGGATTAACACACTGTACTACACAATCGCACCTACTACGAGTTCTGGTGTGGGAGGTGTGTTGCATTGCAATTCATTTGAATGTCACCCCAAACGCACCTCCCACCCACAGTTCAATCGCCCGCATTCCGGTGCAGTACCACTTGGGTCGCGACTTAACGACCAAGGACAAATGTGGGTCCTGAGGTTACATGTACCAAGTGCACGGGGGGGGGGGCCCGCGATCTTAACAACTACACTATACTGCACATTAAACGAAAATTAAAAAATCTTGCTTGGAGCCCAGGCCTCCCCGGCCCCTCACACAAGTACCAGCCGTACCTAGAGCACACTTTTCAGGTTCTACAGCTCCCTCTACAGTCTAATGTAAGGTACTGGACATCCCAGTATAGAGCTCACTGGTTGGATGAAGGTAACACAAGGGGTGATTTTACTGTAGCATTACTCCTCACTCTCAAGCTGCCATTTTCCCAACTACGTACCTGCTGATGTAAGACTGTAACTGTTGCTGATGCCACATTCACCGTAACAGGAACCCAGCCGGCTCTATCAGAGTTGAGTGCTGTCTGCAGGGTGTTGTTTATCAAATCCATTCCTGGAAGGCAATAAAAGGCATAAAGATTATATAACCAACACCAGCAGCTCCACTCATCACATTTTCTCCGGGGAGCACAGCGCGCCGCCCCACTGTGGTCGCACAGACTGCACCCCCCCGGTCGCACAGCTCGCCGCACCCCCCCCCCTCCCCCCCCCCCCCGCCCCCCCACCCCCGCCCCGCCTCACCCACTCACCCTCTCACCCACTCACCCACTCATCCACTCACCCACTCACCCTCTCACCCACTCACCC